TTCTGTCTTCTAGAAATACTTGGGATTCAGGGTTCTGCCCTTGGTATTTGCTTAGGTATCTGAATCTTTCGTTCCCAGCCATCCTGGCTGTCACACAGCACTACGGGTACCCCTGGATCTCAGCCTCACCTGGGCAGGAGGTGAAGAGTGATCTTGCATGTGTTGTAGATCTAGCAGCTAGTCTGGATAGTGAATGTGGTATGGCTGCTGCTTCTCCATCGTTTGGCTGCAGATGGGTATTTTGGAGCTGTCTGAGCCAGGGTCGCTGAAGGGAAAGGATCCGTTGTGTTGTGACTAGGTCCTGTTGTAGCAGCAGCAGTTTGTGACCGTTTCTGTGCTGTTACTTGGCCAGTAACTGGAGCACATCAGACACTGGTGTGGACTGTTATCAGTTCCTTCCCTTGCCAGCCATTTCCTATGAAGGCCTGAAACCCCTGTGGCAGGTAGCATCGCAGATACAGCGCATAACATCCTTAATCTTGACTGCAGTGCTGCAATGCCACTATAGGAAATGGCTGGCAAGATCAGCCCATGTTTCAGCAGCAAGAAAGCTGTCTGAGCTGGTGACCTTGAGCACTTTGAAGCAGTGACTTATCAGAGCCAGAGTCTCCTAGTCAGGACACCTTTTTCTGTGTGTGTGCACGCGCGTACTTTCACTTCTGGAGCTGGAAGATCACGCTCCAGCACTGCTGCATTTTCCCAGTGTTTAGGCACTGGAGAAGCACCCACTCAGCACCCATGTGGAGCACAGTCTGTGTCACAGGGAGAGTCAGTTGGTCCTTCCAGCTGGCACAGGGAGCTGGTGATGCCAGGCTTTGCTGGAGAAGAATCAGGCCGATCGTTCAGCTCTGCTGGAAGTAAGGGTGGAGAAAAAACTCCTCTGTAGCTCAGCCATGACTGTGTTCCTCTCCCTCCACCCAGGTTTCCTTATTTTGAAACTGAGAACAGCAGCAGTCTAATCCCACTATGTTTACAAAGTGTCTTCTGCTACTTGAAGGGCCAGGATCTGAACCTACTGGCCTAAATCCTCTCCCCCGCCCCCCAACCCACCCAGCTCTCTGCATCTGGTGTTTTTAGCTGCCCTTACGATGCTCTAGAGCTAGCCTGCCTGCACACAAGCCCTTTGTGCATGACCATCCCCTGCCAGGATTTCACAGGGTTCACCCTGCTCCCAGTGCTCTGGAGGAAGCAGGACTTGGCTGTGAATGAAGACTGGGCCCGCAGAGCTCTTGAAGCATTGGCTTGCGGGCGGATCAGCTGCACAGCAGCTCAGGCCCTGCTCCAGCCCCGAGAGCCCTCTGTGTCCAGCAAGCAGGCGGTCTGGGCAGCGCGGCAAGCCCTGAGCCGGGGCACGGAGAGATGCTTTGAGCCACAGGCGGGGCAGCGTGGATTGTACGTGTAACTCATGGCTGCTCCCTGGCTGTCGCTGATGCTCAATGAATGAATCACTTTGTGAGCGAGAAGGGGGAGCATCGCAGATACAGCGCATAACATCCTTAATCTTGACTGCAGTGCTGCAATGCCACTATAGGAAAGGGCTGGCAAGATCAGCCCATGTTTCAGCAGCAAGAAAGCTGTCTGAGCTGGTGACCTTGAGCACTTTGAAGCAGTGACTTATCAGAGCCAGAGTCTCCTAGTCAGGACACCTTTTTCTGTGTGTGTGCACGCGCGTACTTTCACTTCTGGAGCTGGAAGATCACGCTCCAGCACTGCTGCATTTTCCCAGTGTTTAGGCACTGGAGAAGCACCCACTCAGCACCCATGTGGAGCACAGTCTGTGTCACAGGGAGAGTCAGTTGGTCCTTCCAGCTGGCACAGGGAGCTGGTGATGCCAGGCTTTGCTGGAGAAGAATCAGGCCGATCGTTCAGCTCTGCTGGAAGTAAGGGTGGAGAAAAAACTCCTCTGTAGCTCAGCCATGACTGTGTTCCTCTCCCTCCACCCAGGTTTCCTTATTTTGAAACTGAGAACAGCAGCAGTCTAATCCCACTATGTTTACAAAGTGTCTTCTGCTACTTGAAGGGCCAGGATCTGAACCTACTGGCCTAAATCCTCTCCCCCCCCCCGCCCCCCAACCCACCCAGCTCTCTGCATCTGGTGTTTTTAGCTGCCCTTACGATGCTCTAGAGCTAGCCTGCCTGCACACAAGCCCTTTGTGCATGACCATCCCCTGCCAGGATTTCACAGGGTTCACCCTGCTCCCAGTGCTCTGGAGGAAGCAGGACTTGGCTGTGAATGAAGACTGGGCCCGCAGAGCTCTTGAAGCATTGGCTTGCGGGCGGATCAGCTGCACAGCAGCTCAGGCCCTGCTCCAGCCCCGAGAGCCCTCTGTGTCCAGCAAGCAGGCGGTCTGGGCAGCGCGGCAAGCCCTGAGCCGGGGCACGGAGAGATGCTTTGAGCCACAGGCGGGGCAGCGTGGATTGTACGTGTAACTCATGGCTGCTCCCTGGCTGTCGCTGATGCTCAATGAATGAATCACTTTGTGAGCGAGAAGGGGGACTCCAAAATAAAAAGGAGTGATGGGGTGGGGGGTGTGCGGCTGTTACTGACTGCCTTCCCCTTCCCTTGCCCTGAAGCAGCAGAGAGGCTTGTTCCACAAATGAGTAAACCTCTTATTCACCGGACATAATTACAGTAGATGACCTATAGATGCTGAACTCCTCTGTCTGCCGCATTCCTCGCGACAGGCTGCTGCTGTCCTTCCTCCCCCTCCAAGCAGGGAGGGAGACGGCACGGGCTGCTCTCGGAGACAGCAGCAGGGGGAGAAAACCTGTTAGGGCCATTGCATGGCTGGGGTGGGGAGACAGAGGTGGTGCTGTTTCCTGCTTTCCCCACCCATTACTCTCTGCAGTTCTCATCTCACAGGAAAGCAAGCGGTGGGCAAGGGCTCGGCACGGGCCGCAAGGCAGCGGGGAAGGTCAGGCTGCCAACCCGCCGGGGAGGAGGGCAGGGGCCCGGCTCTGCCTGCCAGTTCCTCCCCTTCACCCAAAAAGTCTCTTTGTTTCCTCTGATAGCAACCAAGAGCTTTTGCACAGGTTCCTGGGGCTTCCTACTGAGGAGGTGTTTATTGACCTTCTGGAAGGGGACGTGCTGTTCCCTGGCTGCCACTACCGTAGCATCGCTCGCTCTCCGTAGCCGGCAGTCCCAAACCGAAGCGTGCACAGAGGTTTACAAGTTTTCTAAGCTTTTGATAATGTGAAGCTCCTGGGTGATGAGGTTGGTGGTGAGCACACTGCAGCTATGTAATTTTTTGTGTATGTATGTAATATTTAAGGGTAACAAAATTTAAAAGGCTAAAACCTTAAAAAAAAAAAGTTTAAAAACACACAAAAAAAAAAAGCCAAAGCATGATGCGTATTGTTAGCCTTAAAACTGGCTACACGACTGTGTGATGTATAAATAAGAACAGCCTGTAACTGTTTTAAGTGCTGGGGTTGGGGAAGAAGCATTACAAAATCAGTTTGTAGCCTTGATTCTGTACAGTATTTAAATGAGGAAAAAAAAAAAAAAGACCTGACTATTGAGGCCATGCTTAGAGGTGTGTTGTTCACGTGCAGATGTGGATGCTTGGTTGCTTACGATATATGTATAAAGTGCTGTGTGACCATTAAAACTTTTTTTACCTGCAGAATTTTTTTTTGTTTGGCTAACCAAGGTGTAATAAAGGAGGGAAGATGACTTGCCATTAAATTTTGCCTCTGTGAGTAGTTCTGATTGTTGTCTCTTTTTTTCTCCCCCCCC